TATATGAGAGTGCGTAATGATTATGCTAAGAAATATGTAGTATATAGACTGCATGAAACATGTGCAGCAGTTACCGTAGGCAGTGCAAGTATCAGTAAAAAATGAAAGAACACTTCAATCCCCTAACTTGCATCAACCCACATTGTTGGCTCTAATTTAGAGCCAACAATTCTTGGAAGGTACCTTTCCCTATTAGTTAACTTACTAGCTTACTCACCGACTGGCACAATTCATATTGTATGTATTTGACAAATCAACGGAATTATTTTTGGCAAACAATGGATTATGTCTATTTATGATGGGGTAAAAGGCCTGTTTCTATTTGCATATGATACGGTAAAAACATGGCCTGAGCAAACAACCCCTATAATTATATTTTATTCCTGTTCATTTTTCGCTTTTAATATTCATAGATTTTTGCCACCCTATTATTAAACACACAAAATTAGTTTGTTCAGCCTTGATGTCGATGTTGCGCTTGTGTATTGGTAACAGATAGAATAGAAACGGAGAACTAAAGTGTGAGGTTTCCCTCCAGCTCTGCTGCTCCACCAGCGGGCCAGGATGGAGCGCCTAATGAAGGAGCTGCTGATGGAGAGGCAGAAACTAGAGCACCTGAAGTCCGACGTCAACAACATGGAATATGACGCCCTTCAAAGACGCTTTCGAAGAGTCAACTCCACCAGTCTTATACCCAGAGTAAGGACTGAACATGATTACTGTCTCCTCTTAACAAGTTCATGCCACCACAACTCTTCTACTTTTTCACATGCTCACGAAAGGTGACCTACAACAATAGCCTGTGAAATGATTATTCTCTTCTTCTTATATCTTAAAAACAATCAAACTCGACTTAAATTAGTATTCCAGGTAAAGCTAAAATGCCGCAATAATAAGACAAGTTGCTGTATTGTATCATACAAAGTGATGTTTAAAATAATTTCTTACCTGTACGAAGATTGAAAGGAGGGATGGGGAATATTTGGGTGTTTTTTATTTTAGTCTAATCTAACTGGGTTGTGTGTTTGCACCATCTGCAGCCTGAAGAGATGACCCGATTGCGGAGTCTGAACAGACAACTTCAGATTGATATCGACTGTACCCTGAAGGAGACGGATCTACTGCAGTCTAGAGGTATACACACACACGCCAACACACACAAATGCACATTACTACACATCAACTCTTTGAAGTGTTTCTCTGATTTATCTGAAAGCATTGATCTTGAAAGAGCCAAGCCCAGAAGCAGACAGAGTTGGGTCCAAAGTGATGGACGAGGCTCCATCACACTGCATACAGATGCAGCGCTCTAAAATGACCTGCTGGTCCGTGACAGGACCCAGGCCCATCCAAGGTTGACCCACATTGGGCCCCATGCACAGTGTTTGGCTGGTACGTGATCCTTGTTGATTACGTAATTGATAACAGCATTGCCTCAATATGCCCCTAATCACAGTGTGTGGAAATGAGTTGCAGTGCTTTTATATATTTACCAGGAGTGGTGTGTTTTTTGGAAGCTGAAACAGTCTTCACTGGCAGCGGGCTCCAGAATGGGACCGGTTTGCTTGAGATCGGCTCAGTGTCACTGAACGGTTGTGTCGTGGTCCTCCTGGATACTTCGTGGAGCATCCTTCAACTTTGTTTCAGACTTCCAAATGCTTTCTGGCAAACACTGGCTGAGATGTCATGAACCACTTTCTCTCACTCTTCCTTAAAGCGGAGAATAGAGAAGCACCCGGGCGGAAGTCTTTATGTAAACAATGTCTCTCCTCAGAGCTTTTAAACGCTGACTTCCCTCACCAGTGCCCCTCTCGCACTCTCACACACTTGTTTTTTGAGGATGGCCTGATCCTTAAATGAAGATGTTGGAACTTGCAGCAAAAAAACGCAGCTGCAAAATAATTGCATTTGCTGGTCAGCCCCCGAGTTTAAACGTCTGCTTCTTGGTTGCATTGTTTCTAATTACAGAGCAAGGAATCTCTGTTTGTCTGCGTGTTCTTCGCATCTCTCGAGAACCGTTCAGCCGGTCTACTTCAAACTTCGCGGGTGTATTGGCTGGGGACCCAAGGACTTTCAGTGTTGAAGTTGGTGCGATTAGGATACGCAAGGTTCAATATTTATAAACTTTGAATAAACAAGCGATGGTGCTCTGTGCGGCAGCAGCGGAGTCGAGCTTGTTGTCAGCAGCTGGCCTTTACGAGCTGCAGCTCATAGACTGCAGTCCACTTTGCTGCTGGGTGCTGGATGTACCAATGTTACAACCAAGCGATCAACTGCACTAGTTTCTTCAAATGTTGAGCCATGCATGTTCATGTCTTTGGCAGAAAATAAAATGCATGTTCAGAATGAACTCATACTAGTTACAAAGTTGAACGCAACCATTTATTGCTGTTCCTGTATTACTTTTCCTGTTGTTGTTGTTGTTGTATAGAAATATTTAAAGCTTTGTTTTTATTTTGGGACTGTGACCAGTTTTTTGAATGGAAAAGAAGATCTCAGTTGTTGTAGAGTTGAATGGATGGATGGATGTTGTTTTAGGCTTTAGAAAAATGGCCCTAGTTGTGGTCTTTGTTGGGACAAACAGCCGATGTAAAACGTTGCCTTCATCGCTCACAAAGCTCTTTGAGCCAGAGAACTCTGCGTGCAGAAAAAATTCCATCCAGTTGCAAAAATAAATCAGAAAATCAAATCAAGTTAACATCCGACTGCACGCCTGTAGCTGCTAGGCCCATTATTCAATTATTTATTTTTATGCTGATAAAATTATGCAACGAAGCAGAGAATGACATCCCATGTTCATAATTGTGGTCCTAAATCTATTTATAACTATATAAACACCCAAGATGAAGCTTCCTTATTTGATGTTGCGGTTCATTTAAAATAGATCTCTAGTGAAGACATGCCGGGGGAAAAAAAGCTCGGCATCATCTCCTGGCGAAATCCTGAAAATGTCTGAATACTGCTTGACTTGGCTTATTTATTGTAGCATTGCCCTAGCGGCCGTTCAGACCAACTTAAGCGCTGCAATAACAAAACACAAGGGGCTGCGTTGGTTGAGGCGCGTTGCTTCATGTGCCAGTGAGATGCTTAAATACAACCCAGGATGGTGAGCGTTAGAGAGCCATGAATCTTGAGGCTTTTTGGATGTCAAAACACTGCACAGCAGTTTATAATACTAAGACAGGATTTTACAACTCGGCATTAGCCATTTTACTAAACTCATGTTACAAACTAGTCTAACAGGAATGTGCATGTACTTGCATGTATTCGATTGGCCAACATAGTACGTAGTCAAATGTTCAGTATGTTCAGTACTGTGCTGCAAAAATGGAGCCAGATTTGACTTTTTTTTTTACCTGCTGACCCTGCACGGGTCGGAACACAGCTGTCTGTCAGGAGGTTCAAAGAGAACAGCTGGAAACTGGTCGGACTGATTGGACTTCTGGTTGGGATGGGCACTTTCTAAACAAACGTCTGCTTTCCTCCTTTCCTCCGCAGGGAAGTTTGATCCAAAAGCAATGAACAACTTTTATGACAACATCCAGCCCGGTCCGGTTGTGCCGCCCAAGCCTGGGAAGAAAGGTGAGAATTTTCCGGCACCACTTTGACCAGAACATTAAAGTTATGTTGAGACATTTTCGTAAGCATGTGTGAAGAAAAGAAGAAAAATAAATGTTCTACAAGTAATAATCATATGTTAATAGTGTTGCCAAGATGCAGATTTACATTTCAGTGCAAGAACGTTCAGGCCTTTCCTTGCTCGCATACAGTACTTTGCTTCTTTGGCTTCCAGCAAATTGAAGATTTGTGACATTTTTATTTAAAAACCGAGACTAAAAGCTGAATTTGGTCTGTGTTGGTCAACGTGGTCTCCACAGATGAGTTGGCCTGTAAACTATTGCTATTTAGTGAATGCCCATGTCTATCAACATGTCTACTGAATGTTTAATGCTTAAATTGAGTGACATCCATGCTTCATTTTAGCCCGGAGTTGATGACTCTTTTTCATGTACTGCTTCGCTCTGTTTTTGTGAAAAGGGGATAAGGGCCCCAAGCCAGTCCCGGAGCCCCCGAGGGATGAGGACTTCGAAGGCGCCCAGTGGAACTGTGAAAGCTGCACCTTCCTCAACCACCCTGCCCTCAACCGCTGTGAACAGTGTGAGATGCCGCGTTACACCTGAGCTTAGCACTGCACTGTATTGCCCACCCCTGCTCTATCCCCGACCAATCCTTGGATAGTATGAGCCCCAACCCTTCCAAAATCTGCAGAATCTGTCTCGAGGCCTGTCAATCAATATGTAAGCCCCTCTTACCTGCTGAGGAAGAGCCACTATCCCCCTCTGCCCACTTGTCCTGCTCCTATCTACTACTCCTGTGCACTTTGAAACCTTTTTTCCCATTGGAGGATGATGATTCTTATTGAGGACAGTTGGAGCCTCTTCTCATGGCAAGTGTATAAAAGAGGGACGCGCTGCGACTCTGGCAGTCGGTGGTTCGGGGCGTCGGAAAGGTTAAAGCGATTAAGTATCGAGGAGGAGGAGCTACGGTTTACCTAGAGAACATTCTGCGCAGAAAGAGTGACTGCCCTGTTTACGCTGCGCCCATTCCTGAACTCAAGATGGAGGCACTTCCACCTCGGACCTGTAACTCCCACTCCGACAGTAGAACAATGAAAGCAATGGTGTATATACATTCTGACGAATGCGAAATGTAGACTGTACACTGTATCTGGCTCTGTATTGGAGCTCATGTCACTGAAAGACGAACACTAAAGATATTTGCATACGAGTATATTCCTGGTACTTTTATGCATATTATGCCACCATGTATTGTGTTCAGAAGATGTTGATTTCCTGTGCAAATGCCTCAACTTGCTGTACTTAATAAAGGAGCTGATTCTATGTGACTTGACCATGCACAGCTGGCATGTCTGCATAGTTATTTTTTTAATAATTCACAGATGCTCCTTTTTCCCCCCCCACACACAAACCAAAGACTTATTTTTTTTCAGTACATGTTTATTATGCAAGTAATCAAACCAGTGGGAATCAGAAACACAGCAGCAAATGGTAGTAACATGCACACACACACACACACACGCTTTCATTACTGTTGCAAGAAGAAGTTGGAGACGTTTCTAACCACGTTCGAATGGGGTTTGAGTCGTGCCAGTGCAGCTCTGATCTCACTGTCCTTCAGGTTTGAAACTCTCCATTTTCTGCTTGATTGATCCCACAGTCATAACACTGATCATGCACAGCATATTTCACTCTAGCATCTCCTAAAGTACTCCATCAAGGACCTTAACTTGGATGCAAAAACTGACTTTTTCAATAACTACAATAATTTTATGCTACAGTCTCTCCCTATCTGAGTTGTGTTGTATTCCTACAGAAGCTTACCCTGCTGTGTGCGCTCCCATTCCCTACAGGGGGAGAAGATAAGGAGGCATCACATGAGGGAGGTATGTGAGCACATGCTGGGTGGTATGATCATGCAGACATGACACGCTCAGCAAACATGGTCATTTGCCATCTTCCTTCCCACTGGTCTTCTTGTAGTGAATATTACTTTATGCTTATTGTGTATACTTGCATATAACAACCATTTTCTGAAAAAGCAGGTGTAACTTGGGTTATGTTGTACGTTTACATTAGCAGAAAAAGGCTTTACCGCTGTTTACATATGACAGACTCTGCTATTCATTAACCAGTACATGTTTCTCTCACCAGTATGTTATCATTTGGAGGCGGCTGTGGAATGGTTTTTCTGTCTTAGGTAGCTTCTGTTTATATACAGTATCTCTGACGCTTTTAATACAAGAAAGAAGGAAAAAAAAAAAAGCCACCTATTTGGAGCTTTATGACATGCTTTCTCCATCCTATTTCACTCTACTGGAGGAAGAAGGCTCTGCCAAGTTCCAGTTGTCGTGTAACTCTGGGGAAATGCAGCATTTCCTGAGGTGTGCCCTGTCTTCCTCACTTTGTCATCCTCGTGATATCACTTCAATAGGCTTTCCTGGGTCCGTCACTTCCCTGATTGGCTCGACTTTACATGGTTCTCTTCTCTGATTGGTTAATTATACCATCAATTCGTCCTGGTATGCGGTGAGTAAATCCAACTGTTCCCTCTAGATTTTCTTTGCCCAAATCTAAGACCTACTGGAGTTCCACTTAAAAGGGACACAAGAGTTATCTGAGTACTCAAATTCTCTCCCAAATTTAACTGGCTAGGTTTGGATTTCTTTCCACCGGGTTTGCTGCCAAAACCTCCTGAGAGCACGGGGCTTCAGTCCAATGAGTGCGGATAGTCGCTGAGACGATAAGTTCACAGTATCAATTGAAAGAGCTAATTTCCAGTCCTGAAACTAACAATAAGTGTTTGTGTTTCCTGTTTTTCTAGTCTGTGTTTGTGCACTGTGTAACGGACAGAAAGTTCCTATTACTGAGAGGACACCGGGTGAAACGGAGTCTCAATTTCTCCTCTTGTCTCACACATTTTAGTAGTAGTCTTCATAGTTCTTGGGGTTGAGGCAATAGAGGATGGCGCCTCCAAAAGAGAAGATGGTGGATCCCCAGGCCAGACCGTAGCCCCAGTTAAACTCGTGGTACACCCTCAGACTGACCGTCTCTATGAACTTGATGGGGAAGAGGACCAAGCTGCACACCTGGAGCACCACTGCAGAGGAAAACAGGAAAGAGAGACGGTACTAATGTCAAGATGGTTATGGTAGATAGATATATAAAGATTAAAAACAATGACTGACCAGCTTACAAAAACTAAGGAGGTGTATACAGGGCACTCTGATGGCTACCAAAAGAACACTTTGTTCAAATAATGAAAGGTTTTTAGTGCCTTGCCCTTGGATCTTTCCCCTGATGGCTATAATGGATGTAGATTGTTTTGGAAGCTGGACAGTCATTGTTTTGTATATTTGGACTGTCCTTCAGCTCTTCCTTCTTGTTTTGTTTTTTTGATACAGAATCTCTTTACGTACCTGCGGAGAACAGCATGACAGCCACTGGCTTGTAGCAGCGACTCCTGGAGCCAGAGCACAGGGAGATTAGCGCCACGAGGAAAGAGAACAGGGTGAGGGCCGCCCCCCCCAACAGCAAGGCCAGTGTGGCGATCTGCCAGTCTGAGACAAACGCACAGGGACAGAGAGGAGGGAGGAAAGGCATGAAATCACACTGAGATAGAGAGTGACACAGGTAGCTAAAAGGAGGTTACTCTGGAGAGCCATGTCTGCGCTGCTGACAGGAGGGTGGATAGATGAGAGATAGAAGGACAGAGTGGGTCACAAGCTGTGTTGCTACAGTTGCACTGCCATGCTCAATCTTACACAAGAGAAAAATGATTCCACCCTCTAACGTTTGTGGTGATTTACCACAGTGTAAACAGTGGTTTCGGAGGTTGAGACAACTCGTGCATATTCTGAGAAGCTGCTGATGGCTCATCGTGTTTATATGTGAGCCACTGGGGATCCATAGCCAGTGGTAGAAGAAGAATGTGAACCATGCAGCGAATAACCCCTCGAACCGAGCACAGCAGTTTCTGGCTGACAAGAAACAAACAGACGCACACATGCTTCGCTACGCACGGATATCAGCGGGTCCAGTATCCGTCCCTCCTGGCTGATGCCAGCTCAGCAGCATTCTCTGCATTTCATTCAGATTTACTCCAAAAACACTGAAGTGGAAATAACTGCAATTTCCCTTCCCTTCCCTTTCCTTGGAATGCCAAAGCAGAAACAAAATGGAAAAGTGTTTGTCAAAAAACAAACCTTACAGTATAGATTTTAGTTTGCTTTGTGCAACAAAAATTCACTTCAGGAGAAGAGTGTTGGAGAACTTTTTTTGCTGTGGGACTTAAACTGAGGATTGTTGAGAGACACACTATGTATTGTTTCGAGATTAGGGGTCTCTTTCGTAGTTTTACTGTGTACTTGTGGAAACAGGAGGTCCATTTGTAAACAGGCAGAGGATATTATGATCAGGCATTTGATTACACAGGAGGAAATCATTTATAGTACAGTGGGTGGGGGGAAAAATAACATCAAAGCATAAAGAGGATTGAGCCCTGCAAAAGTGCATCAATATTACAATAGGTGTAGAAATGTAAAGATTGTAGTTTAGAGTATGTCTTGCCTTTTTTTTAGGCGAGTATACATTGTATTGTCTATTATGGAGCCCAGGAAGTAAAAATGATTAAGCGTTGCCAAGAATATTTCCTCTCTGTTGAGGCAGAAAATCATCAAAACATTCACCAGTGGAGAGAAAGTGACGGGACATAAGCTGCTTAAAATACAGTTCCCACTCTTGTTGGAGGGGAACTTTATTCCAGGGGCCATGAAGCTCAAATATAAACAAACATCAACTACCTCTGACCAAATATGGTTCAGGATTCAGAGTTTAAAATGGGCCCTGTCACCACAGGATGTTGGCAAAAGCCCACAAAAAGCAGAGCACCCGCTCCCTCCAGCCTTCAGCTTGCACAACACGAGGCCCCCTTGAAGACCGACCCCTTGACTTTCTCTGCCACTGCCTCGCTGGTTTGCTCTCGGCAAAAGGGCCACAGTGACTTGACCTGTAGTTGTCGAAGCCTATCATTGGCGGGATATCTTCTCTCTGTCAGTTTGGTGCCTTCAGCCCAGCCAGCCTTATCAGTGCGCTCATGAAAACAGCAGGATGCAGAAAGTCATCTCATCTCAGATTTGGAACAGACACCGTACTCTGTGCAAGAAACACCGCCAGAGTCGGAGTGCTCAAAGGCTTTGACGAGCAGGAAGCGCCAAACTATTAATCTGAGCCCCGCATGATGACAGATGGAGAAGGAGATACAGTACATAAGATCCAATCAGAGCATTAATTATGGTCACTGCTTTAGTTTTAATCGAAAGAATCCTTCAGGGCCCAAAGTCTGTTTCTTTGTCTGAGACAGTGGTGGAAGATCTGTGTCACAATAGAGCCTCGAGTGTCTCTTGCTGTCACACACACTCAGTCTCATTCTCAAGGCAGCCGGATGGAGAATATTAAGAAGCAGGAAAATCTTCAACCAGAGGTCCCTGGTTCAAAACCCCAGTGTCCATGAGCAAGAGGCTGACTCTTTACAAGCTTTACAAGCTCTCTGTATCCAACATTTTTGCTGTGACCTCCCTCAAAGACAACACAGCCACCCAAATACTGGCTCGATAAGGTATTACATTATTAATATGCTTTGGCATCACTGCGTCTGACTGAGCCGTGCTCGCTAACACACTGGCTCCACATTTGTCGCTTCATCACGCACCGACCTGGCATCCACACACACACCGTGCACTTGCACGACCGTTCCACATTCCTAGCCCTGTAAAGTCAGTATCTTTTATACTTGACCTCTGACCCTCTGTCTAAGTGTGTATGTGTTAGAAAAAGTAACTGAAAGAGAGGAGTTTTTATTTGTTTCTGTGTTGTTTATACACTTCATGAGCGTGTAAGAAGGCAATATCTCATGTCTGCTTTTGTAATTCACACTGCATATTATTTTACCTGACACACACTATGCAAGCCTTGCAGAAAAAGCTCAAAACATCTGAGCGGCCAGCTGGTGTTTCAAACTAACAGGATTTATTTAATGCTCAGAGCATGACACTGAGGAAATATTGGGGGGCTGGTAAGGGGGGGGGGGGAGAAACTGATTACTGGGATTCAAATCAATAAGCCTAGCCAAGCACGGGCCTGAGGAAATGGGCAGTTTGCTGTGTGCATTTACTGTGGTATGCTGCTGCTGAGAGCTGACACGGAGACTGCATGTCTTTATATGGCACCAAAGTGCACTTTGTCTGCACTGACGGAGGAGAATCGGGGCCAATGTGACCCACAGTTACTCATCTCTCAGACAGAAAGAAAACATTTTGTCAGACTAACAAAAACACAATTCACCACTCAGCACACAGGAGGGGGTCGAACGCAGCAAAAAGTTAAATTTATATATAGGAACACACCGAAAAATAATGAAGGCATCTGTATTCAGGAGTGTGGTGTGAAATAAATCAACAATTCAAATTTTAAGAATAACATTTAGACAATGTTTGGAGGTCATGAAAAACCCCTTATGAGATAAATAAAACAATATTCAGTGCAAATCAGATTATAGTTGTTAGTAGTAGTGTTTGTACTGGACTGAATCATACTGTAAAGTGTTTGTTATATTATCCACTTTACAATTCAGTTTAACCTATTGTATTACAGCAATACCACAGACTGTGGCCTAAAAACATGCCAGTGGTGAATCATCCTCGATTAAAAAAAATTAACATTACAAATTGCAGGGTTGCTGTAGTGGATCACATTAGATTTTCGTTGTAAGAACAAAGCATAAAGACACGTTTTCCTGATTGATTTTTGTTAATGCTGTTCATATGGTGACTTATTCTCAACCACCTTTGTATCCCGGAATGACCGGCTGTGATGGAAATATGAAATGCTTCCAGAAAACAACCTTCATGGGGACCGCATAAAGAAGTTTCCTTAATCGAGGAAAATCAGCATTACTGGACTGCTTCTCTTGTTTCCCTGGTTACTAATCTCCAGGCATCTGGATCTCCAGGGAGTTCTCTGCTCTGAGTTGCCCTCACTCCTTGGCCGGTGAAGGAACCTACACAAAGGCTCATTTTGTGAGCAACAAAAGGCCAAATGAAACCCCAGCTGGTCCGCTCCTGGCCAGGCAAAATTCCCACATCATTCAGTAGCGCACTAGGCAAATGTTTTAGAAGAAAAGTTAACTAACCATCATAGAAAAAACCCCAAAAATGTCTCATTCATTAGACTTTTGACACTCAAGGATAAACTTTTTTTCAACACTTTTTTTTTAAATTTCCCACTTGCAAGGCAGCAATGTGCTGCATTGTTCACGGTCGTATATAATGTAGAAAAGTTCTGCAGTTTTAAATTAACCAGGCAATAGCTAATTATAAAGTAATTAACATTTAGCACTCTCTTGGGTGATGTTTTATAATTCTCACCCACAGAACAGATTGGTTCAGCGGTCTGTGGGGACCCTTTGTTATCCCTCCGCGCTGTGCGTCTGACTGTCATTTGAATATATGAACGTGGGGGTCTATCTGCACCCCGAAATCTGCTTTTTCAAGAGTAAAACCTTCCTAAAACTACAACAGGACTGGTTTGAAACTTCAAAAACAACATGGTGGTGCATCACTCCATCAGCTACAATAAGTTCAGCGTGTAGGCGCATGAGCGTCTGTCTCACCGGTGGCCAGCGTGCTGTTGCAGGACCACTCCGCGGAGCTGACGGGCTTCCAGCAGGACATCCACATGGACAGGTAGTACTGGTCATCCGCCGTGACCCACGCCGGGCTCAACACGGCCCCGGCATCCAGGCACAGGGCGAGAAAGACGCACACCAGTCCCACCAACTTCAGGGGCGTCAACGCAGACACCCGGACCTCCTCTGTGCCGCTCACGGATGAAGCCATATCTAAAGTATCTTACTCATTTAAAAAAGAAGAAGAAGAAGAAGTGTGTTTGGAGGCTGTCTGTGTTGTTCCTCAAATCCCCAAAATGAGCCAAGCTGAAGTTGTCCCCGTGCCCGTGTTTTGGGTAGCAGGATGGGGAGCTGCCGCTCACTCCGCGTCCCGAGTCCAGAGGACGCTGCTGCTGTAGAGCCACCGCTCTGATGACGGGACTCAGCTGCAGACTTGTGAAATAACACAGTGCTGCACCTGCTGGGTCCTAGTGCCTAGATAGCGCTGTCTCTCTCTCTCTCTCTCTCTGTCTCACTGTCTCTCTCTGTGTGCGTGTGTTAGTCCTTGTTAGTGCTCATATGCACTGATGTAAGAGTAAAAAAACAATGCACATTGAAAACAGAAGTCCGTTAGTTATGTGGCTTCCATTGATGATTGGTGGTGTATTTAAATTATGCTAATTGACAACCGTGATGGGATTCCACAACTTTCAACAAGACTCACTAGACTAGAGTTTAACGTAAATGTTTACTGAATCCTCTTCTTTTCTCCCAACACAATGTTAGCTTTAACTCATAGCAACATATACAACGTTTAAAACAGCAACATATACAGGTTTTTTTACGTGTGAATGAAGTGAAGTAGACAGCTTGATGGAAACGGGGGCACTAATATAGGTAACACTTCATATTGACCACAAACTGACTGGCATGTATGAAAGGATGCGTTTTTCTTTTAAATATATAAGTCACATTATACTCTGTTATTGACCACAATTACATGCACAGCCTATGCAAAACATCCAGGAACAGAAATCTGTTTCAAGACATGTCATTTCAATTTTTTCCTCATTTAATTTTGCGTCTAATATGGGTAAACTTTTGTTTCGGTGGATTCACCTTTTAACTACGTCTCTGCTTTTCTCTTGCAACATGCTTTACATACTTCTCCCTCTCTCCTCTATCTCTTCAGGTTACACTTTGTTAAACATCCCATTTTTCTATCACACACTCACACTCACTCACACCCTGTGCTCGGGGAAGCTTACACAGCTCATTTTCTCTCCCTAATTGCACTTAGCTAATCCTTTGGCCTTAGGGAAGAATCCTGGAGTTAATTCATATTGATTAACTTACACACTCACACAGTGATATGTGTATATATACGTATATACATACACACACACACATTTTTTGAAGCAAATTTTAAGCAAATTTACTTCATAGTTACATTTAAACAGAAATGCAACAGCAACATCTGTGTTGGACTCCTTGTTAATTACTGTAACTGTAAGTTAAAGTAAAAGGTTACCAGCTGTTTGAACCACTGAATATAAGATAATAGTTGTCATCTATTGCTTTATCTTAATATCTTAAGTTTTAGTGAACTAATGAGTTCAATTTGAGGAACCAATAGACTTGGATTACTTTTTTACACGGTTTACATTATGACGAAAATATCCCCTTCTCACTCTTTCACAGCAGTTTTGATGTTTTTGTGTGTGTGTCTTTGAGTTACAGGAGTGTAGGTCAACTGTTACTGGCGGCAAAGTCTTTCCACATCATTACTGTTGATTACAGATTGTAATCAGAGTCGGTGAGTAAAAACAGGAACACATGCACACACAGTCCTCTCATCAGTGTTAATATAACATTGCTGCTGTGGATGAACATTTTACATATTTGATCACAATGCGTGACGTACAAAATGTCACATTGAAAATCTTAAATCGACTAACATCACACTGCATAGAAAAAAAATTGATAATTGTTGTCTCTCCCTCTTCCATCAATAACTGGCCACAGTGCACTACAGCGGATTACTTGATGTGGGAAAAAGGAAAAAATGTGAGATACCAAATACCACCAATACATAATGTTTACTAATAGGGTGTAATTCATTGGATAGGGTTTTTTTTCTTAGTCTTCAATGCCATGAAAATGTCAATTGTTTTGAATAAATTGTTTATTTAAAGTTTATGAGACCGATATTACATTCACAGTTTCAATGAATAGCTGACAGTAAAGAGTAACTTCTGAGGTTCACAAACCACTTGTAAAGGATCAACTCTTCCCATTTCATTTAAATTGTTAACCTTTCAATTTGGATTGAATTATTTGCGTTAATTAATATGCAGTCTATGATTATCACCTTATGTTGAGGCACTAAAATGACTACTACTAGGATAGTTTGGATCCCGTTAAGCTAGCATATTATTTATTGAGTTATTTTGCACTATGAAGTTGTAATTTGAGTAATTATTATGGTCAGTTTAGTCGGTGTTGATCTCTGGATCTCTGTCCCTTTAACTCAGGAGGAAGAGGCTGCTGGAGGCAAACAGAGATGTGCGCATGCGCACCGTGCTTAGCAACATTTTGGGGCAGCAGAGGTATAACGAGGGATCGTTTATGCGCATTTTTGGGACGAAAAGAGGTGAGCTGAATTTATAAAGTTAATTTACACACCAACAGACGGCTTCGACATGAAGTAAAAACCTGTGGTATTCATCGGAGGCCCTTCTTTCGACCACTGTGTCAGTTTGAATCATGTGTCGCTCGTTAACGTTAAATCGCATCCGACTCTGGAGACGCACTGGTCCTACAAATCAGCCCCGCTAGTCAGTACACGGGGCGCTAACCAGCTCCACGTTAGGCTAACAGCGCTGTTTATACGCTCGAGAATAGACCGTTAGCATCCGCAATTAAGCTTTAGCTGACATTTTTCTAGCTTCCACTGGTTGTCCCGCTGTCTCTCTTGTGATTCGTGTAACGGGGCGGAGGCGCTTTGTGTGTGTGTCCGCCGCTGGTGATCTATTTCGGGGAGCTTATGAGCAGGATTCCCGTAACGGTAACAACTGGCTAGCAGCCGCCATTGGTTACTGTCACTTTGGTCAAGGATGTATCATACTCAACACGCCTTTTAACGTGTAGCTGTTATGTTCTTACGCTTTAATTCTGTCATAATTGTGTCTGAATCATCCCAAAGAATGTAGGTATTTTCACACCTTGGTGCTACTGTTATGTCCTAGTGTCCTTAATAAATCAACTTTTTTTTTTTTTTAAAGGAATCTCCCTAATGTGAGCAATGTTATGAGTGATCAGGCAAAAAGAGATGGTCTCCCCTGTAATTGCATGAGAGGGAGTATTGGTTAATTATTGTCTGACTTGTATCAGCAGGTTCAGAGCTGCACATTGATTCACCCCAAACAGACTCGCAGGAATCATGGGGAGTGGTAAGTTTATTGACACTATACTTGTGATTTTACCCCACAGGCAGAGAAGTTCACATGACCTATTACTTTCCTCCTCCAATTTCTTGTTTTATTCTGTCCTATTGTGTCATTGGAATGTGACTATTTAGTTGTTTTTTTTCTATTGTCTTTAGTACACAATTCCCACTCTTTCCTAAGGGAATTTCCTGTTTTCTGCCTTTTTGTCCATTATTTCTTCCAGCTTTTCAAGTCGTGTGCTGATCACATCCCTGAACTTTAAACTGAATTGCTTAATTCGGTTAGTTAGTTCATTAATTCGGTAGTACATCAGAGATTCCCATGTTGTGGCATCTTGTGCACAATTCTTTTTGAGAGTTTATGTTCTTCTCCTGGATGTGTGAAACAGAGGGCCAGTCTGTCTCTCTCAGTTCATTCCTCTAGTTTGTCTTATGTAGCCCAGGGATGGATGCCTTAATCAAAGGAGCTTTTGTTTCTATGCAGAAATGTGGGCACTGGGCAGCGCTCGGATCTGCTCCACTGCCTTTGTTTCAGTCGCCACCTCTCTCTCTCTCTTCCCTTTTTTGCGTTTTTTGGCATCGCCGTCCTTTTTTCCTACTTGTGCGTCTCTCGTCTCTATTTCAACACACTCTCTTTTTGCTTAAATTGTCCCCCCTTCCCTTCCTACCCCACACTGTTCTGCTTACTGTCTCACCCCTACTTTCCTCTTTTCATCTTTTTATTTTCTTGTCTCTGCTTCTGATTTTGTTTTCTCACACATCTTTAAATCGTACATCCTCTCCTCCTCTCTGCCCTTGTCTTTGTCTCCCCCCCCCCTCCCCTCCACTCCTCTCCTGTCGCTCGCCTCTCAGTGTTCCTGCCGGCGGACGCGGCCCACTCAGTGCTGCGCCGGCTGCGCAGGGCCAACTTCTTGCTGGAGGAGATGAAGCAGGGTGACATTCAGAGGGAGTGCCGTGAGGAGATCTGCACCTATGAGGAAGCCCGCGAGGCTTTCGAGAACGACGAAAAGACGGTGAGGGGATGAGAGACTCATCGCATCAGACCTACAATCCCTGTGATAAATACACACAGGAACAGAAAAGTAGAACACGCAGTGTGTATGGCTACATGTGGACGCACACATAAACCACATAAACGGATAGTTTGTTTTAGCAGCAGGTCAGTAGGTCATTTGAGTTTAGCAGTAGGTCATTTGAGTTACTCACCAGTTGTAATGTCTATACAGGGATATTAGCCCCAGTGGGCATTCATGTGTTCAGTGACTGGTTAGACGAGAATTTACACCTCATGGGGTCATTAAACAAAAATAAGCAGCAACAACACCATACGCAAACACACACAATTGGTAGAAAATCTTTTGAACACAGGACTCCCAGCTAGAGCTAAAAGCCACGAATCAATATTACTACTGCTGTGTAACTCATACCTGCCACCCCATGTAAAAGAATCCAAAATATCCGTTTTAAAGTGCTATTTTGTAGGCTTCATGTGTCCAGTAATGAAATCCTACGCCAAGAGTGGTAGCTTGTGGAATGTGTCTGTTTTTCCAGGAAGTGATGATTATCAGCAGGAAGAACCACCGAGTCCATGCTGGAGAGGGACGCATATTTGTAAAACTATTGTGAGAGGCCAGAGAGCAAATGCACAATCACGTGGTCGCTTTTTGTTCGGGTGTTGTTGTCTACTGCCTTTTGTGTTGCAGTAATCCAGATAGAAAGTATTCATAGGGTGGACATTGTGTGTACTGTGTACACACTGTGTTTTGGAAATAGTTCCGTGCCACCATGTTTACACTGTCATGAGTGAGTCTTATCTTAAAGATTATATTTTTTGATCTTGTATTGATTTTTGACAACATGTGTGTCTATTTTGTTTTGTTTTTTGCTGCAGAGACGGTTCTGGGAAGAATATGTGCGTGAGAGCAGTCCATCCGGAGGGCTGGAGACGGTGGTGGGAGGAGTCCACTCTCTGTACTTGATCGTGCCGTTGCTGCTGGTCGTGCTCATCATCGCCGCCGTAGCCGTCACTGTGTGGCGCTGCCACTCCCGCAAGCGCTCGCAGCGCAGCCCCAACCTGGGCCACTCTCATCACGACCACGTCTTGTCAGTGGTCTCTATGGACCATTGGGGGAGGGATTACCACCACGGGGACCAATCAGAACTCAGCGTCCACAGCAGCCCGGCTTATCCGGGCTCAGAGCTCACATCGGGGAGAGGAAGCGCTGGAGACCCGCCACCCTCTTACGAGGAGGCTGTGGGCCATTCAGACGTCCAAATAGAGACGGAGCCACCCCCACAGTATGAGGATATAGTCAACACCAGCGCTTCTGGTGGTCATGCGAAGTAAACCTGCCTCTCACTACCACCCCAACAAAAAAGCCCGAACCTCCACTAAGACCATCCGATCATTTAGCAGCGTCACTATTGTGGTATCACGAGCCTTCCTCATTCAACACATAAAGAAACACTTTTTACTCTCTGGTCAATGGACTAATGCAATGTTTGCCGGACCCAGCGCTGTTGAAATTTGCACTAACTTTTCATCAATGAGGTGAAGTGATAGCAGGAAGGATATATTGCAATACCAAAACCTACCAGCTCTGTTGATCTTCCTCAAGTTGCATCTACGCTGTCACACTGTAGCAAACGATTGGACTCAGCAGGCGTAACATATGTTGCACGTGGCGTGAAGAAACGTGGGTTCTGATTGCCACGATGGAGGACTATTCCAAAAGTGGATGTGAGGGTTGGATCCGTGCTTTTTTTTTGAAGGTTGTTGCCAATTTCCGAGGCTTAAGTGGCCTGTAGCAGATATTTAGATAAAACTATTCAAATGTACCTATTTGTTTATTGTGTATATTGCAGACTTGGCAAGAATATTGCTTTGCGAGATTCAGAAACAGCATTTAGGCCACAAACCAGCAATTCCAGGGAAACCCAGACAAGTTAACATTGCATGAAGCGATTGCTGACCACCATGAGCGGAAAGAGGAAAACATGGTCAAAATCAAGCTTGTGATTTATGTCTAACCTAGAGATGGGCGGATGATACTGAAGAGCAATTTCAATACATTGGATCCAAGCTTGTGACTCATGACGTTCAAAGCTTCAAACTACCCCGATGCTCCAGAAAATGAATTTTCAATTTGACAGTTTTGAAAATTTAGCAGCTGAACTGTGTTACTCTGCTCAGAAGAGAGGGGCATAACTGAGAAATGTGGCACCGTACACTAGAAGGACGTCAGCACATGTATGAGAGCATTTCCATCTAATACCTAGTAATAATGTAAAAAGGCTAATGGGCCAATTTAAAATGAAGATCAGTCTCTAAACACAACACATTGTGATTTATGAAAGTTCAGATAAATATCAACCATGAAGTAAACACATGAGCCCGCATTGGACACCTAGAGTACACTAATAAGGCGCATTTATATTTGATGTCAACAACATACTTTATATCTAGGATTGTTGGACAATACATTTATTTATTAGTTAACTGTAACATTGCTCATTGCTCATTGGCTGCAATGTTATCTAAAAGTGCTTGTTTTTGCCACTGACCGGTTGTGATTGTTACTTGAAGTGTCTGACATATTGGAAAGAGTCTCATTGAGGTTCATTGATTCTGAAGTCTGGAGCAGGGACATGTTACCGGGAAGACAAATATGGAAACACAAGTGCCAGCCAGGCAGAGTTTGTTGTTTTGGAGTTCAGAAAGAGTAGCTTAGTGAAATCCAAAAGACTTTCAATGTCATGTCTGGATATTTAGGTGATTTTGACAATGTGGAGGAGGTCTTTGAATTTGAGAGAGGGACAACAGGCAGAGGAGTGTGAACCAGCTGGTGGTGTTCTGTGACCCTTTGCCCACAGGGGAAGAATGCTGTAAAGAGAGACCTGTTGCTGCCCGACATTCAGAACAAGACTTCTTCTTGAGCGAGACTTTGACCGGATAACAAACAGACCGGATCAAGCGAAAGATTAAGAAATAAATTTGTATTCTCTATACACTATATACAATATGAGCCCGTCGGTGGCAAAAACAAGCACTTTTACACGTTACAAGCTTTGAATCTTCATTAGGCTCCACCCACCCATCTCTAGTCTAACCTGTGAGCAAACGGTTATCTACTCACCAAGCTGACGCAGAGCATGCCGCTGTACTTTCATCCCACCAGCTAACTTGAGTCCAATATATACTCGTTAACTCTGGTTTGGTGACTGACTAATGAGAGATAATCTGGGTCTTTAGCTTGCTAAATACAAAAAAAAAAAAATCTGACTTTTTGGCGGTTTTGTGCAGGGTAGTAGTGGTGCTGGGCTTGTTGACTGTAAATAGTAAATACAATTTAATGTAAGTTTTATTATGGGGGTCAAAGGGAGCATTGAGACCCAAGCATTTAGTAAGTGATCAGGTGGAACCAAACTGTACAGCTGCAAAGTTGGGTGTTAATTGACTTTTCCACATTACAATCTGTAATTTGATTTATTTTTGATATCAATAATATCACTCAACGCAGGTTTAAATAGTCAAGTTGCCAAACTAATGCATCGGTCCAACTTCAGTATACACTTGTGAATGTTTTTTGAGTTTAATATTTAAGATAAGACCAGCAGTAAAGTGCGGGGGGGCTGAAATGTGATTTGTGTAAATGTGTCCTATGTGCTTATATTTTGGTCATGCATGTAGCTTAGTCTGTACACCTGAGGTTGGATCTGGCTCTGCACTGTTGGTTGATGGCCAGTGCTTGCTGGCCACGTGTTCTTCTGCTGGGCTGCTTTTACTGTGAAAATCTCTTCCTATTCTTTCCCTTAATGCAAGTGTGACCGTGTTGGAAATGACTACAGAGTCTTCTGCTGTGCCACTGTCACTAAAAGCACACTGAGTGAATAGATGTAAGTTGTGGAGTGAATTGCACAGGGATGTGGGACAGGAAGCCATAGAAACACAAGCTTTGGGGGAAAAAAGGGAGATTCTGTATTTAACAACACTGGACAGAGTTCAAGTTTAGCATGTGTTATGTACCTGTATATGAATATGTATAGTCTTTACGTGTGAAAGTGAGATTGTTTTTTTTTTTTTTTTACTGCATAGGTGTGCAGCAGATGCATTGCCATTAGTTTAATAGTATACAGCAGGATGTGGATAAATGAAGGCACTTTGTGTTGAAGCGTGACTGTTAGATGGAAACTAGGACAGTCTAGTTTGACGTCTGTAGCTTCACTCTCAGCCATTACGATGTCACTGTAAACCTAAAAAAAAGTTCTCATGCTCTATATGCAATTTTTCCTGCATACACTCTAAAAACCAAAAAATATCTGTCTGATGTTCACAGATCTCCTGTTCACACCTCACAGGTGAGCACTGATTATTGTACTTTGTGAGTTGGCCGGTGAACCTCAGCACTATGACGTTGAGTTGTACTGTTACTTGCAGAGCTCTTTTTTTTTTATTTTTACAATGCCTTATCAAACAAACAAAATGTTATTTAACATTAAATGCAAGATAACTTGTTATAAATCCTTTATGTGCAGAAGCTTGAATTAATTTGTAATAAAAGTGCTACATGTTGCTTTCATTTCATTCGGTGTTGTATGAATGTGTTTCGTGCGTTTAAACGTTCCCTGCTGGACTCACCCAAAGATCCACAGGATGCCTGGAGGGTCTTTAAGAGTATAAACACTGAACGAATTGATTCAGTGACAATTTAGGCCCTTAAAATAGTCTTGAATATCAATGTCAAGGTAGTACATTTTGTAGCTTGTTTTCATTTTGTAACCGTCCAAAAAGGTTGTTTGCTGAGGTTTGCGTTTAATCGTGTAGGCACGTACTGATTTTATGTGTAGTTTATTTATGGATCCTGAGAGATTTGGCATCATCTGAAAAGGAAAACCGTACTATACGATGACATTTTAAATGACATACTATACTATGACTACATGTTTTTTTTTTTTTTTAAGACAGTATATTATAACAGTTTATGACAGTTTACCCTGACCTTTTCTTTTTTTATTGCACACTATGGACATTTTCATGGCATACAATTCTGACATTTTTAATTAAATTTTTGTGACACTTTTCATGACATACTATTCTAAAGCATTTTTTATGATACTTTCACTTGCATGCTATACTGTAACTTTTGTTACGAGATTTATAGTGTATACTCTTGGATTTTTTTGGTTAGACATACTAAAGCATTACCTTTTTTGCCATAAAGTTTTCAATTACTTTTCTTTTTTTTTTTTTTTTTTTTTACAACTCTTGACATACTATTGCTTTTTTGGACACACAAAAGCATGACCCTTTATTGATGAACCAAGCAATTACCAAACCATTACCAAACATGCTATTTCATGGCATATTTTTCAACATACTATTCTGTGACTTTTTCATGATATTCTGTACTTTAACATTTTATTTCATACTGTACATAACATGACATAACTTACTCTGACTTTGATACAGCGACATGGTTCATGACATGCTATCATTTTTGAGGATGTACTTCGACAGCTAAAGAAGTTCAACCTGCCAAAGACAATGATAGTGCATTTCTGCATCGCCATCTCTGAGTCCCACCTCATCTCCTCCATCACCATCTGCACCGCTGAAGCCACTGCCAAGGACCATGGCAGACCGTGGAGTATCTTTCGCTCTGCTGAGAATGTGTTTGGCTGCAATCTGCACTACTTGAACGCCTCCAGAACCCTGACAGGGGCAAGAAAGGTTGTAGCTGACCCCACTCACACTCGACCAAATCTGTTTCAGTCTCTTCCCTCGGGCAGGAGGCTGCAGTCCTTTAGGATCAGAACCTCACGACACAAAAACTGTTACCTCCCAACTACAGAGGGGCTCGTCAGCAAGGCCCGGAACCCCCACTGATTCGGACGCTGACATCCTCAGGACAGCTACATGCATTATTTTAACAAACTCTTATATTGTTTGTTTATTCTATTCTACAGTAAACTGAATTTTTATTATGGATTATGTATTGCTACTATTGTGTTTATTGTTATGCACCAATCACCGAGTGAAATTCTTTGTATGAGCTAACATACTTGGCAATAAACCGATTCAGATCCTGATTCTCCATTTTTTACATGATATTAAAATATTAAGTAAAAATTTAAGTTTTACATTTTATTTAAATTGAGGCCACTGGTGGGGGAGTAGACTACACTGAGGACTGCCAATGGGTGCGACAGGTAACTCACCTCAGGGGAAACACAGCGATCCTCACAACAGAACTGGTGCAGTCTACACTTGTATCCCAATGCCTGTACAGTACATGCATGCATAAGGTGTAAGGGCCTCACCACAGGTGCCTAGCCTCAAAACAATGGCACTCTACTTCTCCTAAAGAAACAAACCCAGTTGGTTTAACAATGTAAATCGAGCAACAAAACAACAAAGGAAAAACAACAGCAGGTGAACCTACAAAGGAAAAACAGGGATTAGCACCATGCTGCAGAATAATACTATACTACGAGATTTTTATGACATACTATTCTTTGATTCGTTTTAACTTTTATGACATTTTCATGATATCCATCATATACGTATAGAAACACGATACGTTGCTGAGCTTTGGTCAGTTTCTCGCTAGTAAATCGTGAAGATTCAAAAAGGTAGAATAAAGATTGAATTACAGGTAAATGTGTAAGATGATGCACAAGAAATAAAGAATTCATTCAGTAATATAATCAAAATGTAACAGAACAAACAATTTATTATAATTGCAAGCTATACATTATTTTTACATTTCAAAAGCCATTTTATTTTCACAAACATTCTTGTCTCTTCAATGAGCCATGCTAGCTGTGACTCACTGCTAACCTCTCTGTGGAACAGGCTCCATCCTCCAGCTATTGTTTTACTTCTGCTCAAACAAGCCAGGAGGTGACCCATTAACAAAAAGTGAACAACAAACCACAATATAAATGGGGCTCAAGAGGGATCGGTTTATTACTAGTCTGTTATCTCTTAGCTTTGATTGTCAAAAATAACCCATTGTTTGGAGTAGATGCACTGAAACATAAAAAAAACACACACATGCTCAGTAGCTTAGTTTCCACCTACTTCCCCCTCAGGTGCTTTGTAAAAGGGGAGTGGAGCTCCAGGACGTCAAGTAGAGCACGACACATTTAGCACAGGCATAGAACAAAACAAATACAGATAGTGTTTGACACAAACACTTCTTAAAAGAAGCACATCATTATGAGATGAACTTAAAGCAGGTACAATTACCACCTGTGGCCACCAGTAGTAATACAATCCCAATGTGATTAAGTGTTATCAAGGCTGACAGGAAAGAGAGAAAAGTACCATTGCAATTAAAAATAAAAAACGTATCACGCAAGTGCGATGTAATATTATTTTGGACAAAGGCAGTTTCCTGGAGGTTTTGTCCAACCTGTGAACACTGTGGTCACACCCACTCCTTAGGGTTTCGTAAAACCTCCAGCATCTCGGCCTCCAGGGTACCTTTGGCAGGCTCATGCATGTACTCCCACCTGAGGAAGAAGGATGTTCGTCACCAAGCAACACAGACAGCTACATTGTCGTCATACAAGAGCAGAGCTAGCATTGCTTCGAACCAGAGTGATCTTACCTGGCAGTGAGCGGAAGGGACATGAGGATGCTTTCAATTCTGGAGCCAGGCGTGGCCAAGCCAAACTTCACTCCCCTGTCATACACCAGGTTGAACTCCACATATCTGCAACATAAACACACAAAAAACCCTACGGTAGACAGCTAGATCTGTGTGGTTTTTGATACATTAAAAAGGTGGAGAACATAAGATTTGGGAGCATTTCTCAGACCGCTAAACAATGGCGACGGCTCACCGCTAACAGGTGCTGACAGAGCTATCAGTGTTTACCTGAGGGGGGGGGGGGACCAGAGGGGGGGTGCTACATTTCAGCTGCCGGCATTATTAGCTGTAACCGCTATGAGAGCAGTGCAGATGAAGCCGTGAGCTCACTAGTGGGGCACACGCTCAGAAGCACAAACATGCGCACTAACAGCACGCAGGCCCGGCTGTGTCAACAAAGAACGAAGAAGCTCGTATTACAACAAACACAGAGGAGAGTGACTTCATTCTCTGCTCAGGTAAATATAACTCCATTATATCTTTATATAGCAAAATATCTGTTTGCTGTTATATTAAGGCTCTGAATCCCTGAGGGTCGGGGCAGGTGTATCAGCTGACATGAACGTTCAGGCACTGAAGCACACGCAGCGGATATGTAAACAAAGCCGAGAGAAGCTCGGATAACAACACACACAGTCTGTGGACACGGTTAAGATCTGTTGTGCTTTAATCCAATCAACAAGCAAATAAAGAATTTTTAAAAGAGGATTCAAACCAATAGTCAATTTATTAAAAACTTGCTTGAGATATGTAGGTAATCCAGCACACTTAAAATTTAGTTTTTTTTACCATTTTCGTGTGCGTCTTTTACTCACCTTCCTCGTCGTACCTGCTGCCAGTCCTTGTCCTCGTCAGTAAAGGACTCGTTGAGGTGTTTGGATACGATGGGAAGGTAACAGGGCACCACAGTGCGAGCACAGCTCGTCACGAAGTTGAACGCTTCCTCCTGACTCGGGGAGTCCAGGTCATCGAAGAAGATCCCTCCTATACCCCGAGTCTCTCCTCTGTGCCGGATGTAGAAGTATCGGTCACACCTAAATATAAACACCAAAATATATATCAAATCAGTAGCTGCTGTTTGGTTTATTTTTAACCAGGGATGGATTCTTAAAATATTCAGTAGATCTGGGCTATGCAAATAAATGATTCAAAGGCAAGAGAACGAGAGAAATTTAAAATAAGTCAGGTGAAAGCACATCTATAGTGACAGTAACTTCCCAGAATGCCTTACCATTCCTTTTAAATTTAACTTCAAATTAAGTTGACAAAATGTTCTTATCACAGGACAAAGCAGATAAACCACACCCGTCCCTTTCTTATCCCAAATGGTCATTTACTGGCAAACGTCAAGGCCAAACGGTTTTTCTGCAACTGCAGAGACTTCCTCTTATCAGCGTCGTACAGTGAGAGTACACCCACTTTAATCCTCACATGCGTACGTGCTGAGGTACACACACGCTTCATGAAAGCAGGACTAATGTTCAGTCTAACTGTACCATTTCTTAAAGTTGGGGTAGTACTGCGGGTGGTGCTTGTCACAGGCCTCCTTCAGGGTGTTGTGGAAGTGGAAGGCATCTTCTTTATCAACATAAACTGGAGTCAGGTCTGTGCCTCCACCAAACCACCACTGCTTAGTGCCTGGAATACACACACACACACACACACACACACACACACACATACACAGACACACAGACAAGGAAGAAAGAAACAAGAGTTATCATTCATTCATGCACTCAATAGTGTCACTGACACCAAGACACAACTGCTGACGTCAAGGACTGACACTCACCGTCTTCCTCTTCGATCTCAAAGTATCTGTAGTTGAAGTGCACAGTGGGGATGTGGGGATTCTTGGGGTGGATAACGGAGCTCACACCCATGGCACAAAATGGCAGCTTACCTGAGAGAAAACGGAGCATGACGTGAAACCGTATCCATTACATTATTACTCTGAATGTAGGTTACCACGCCTCTTATCGAGAGCTATAATCAAGCTTTAAAGCCTGCACACAGATATCAGGTCTACAACACGTACCATCTTTCCCTTTGAGGACTTTCCCTCTGCTCCTCATCTGCTTGGCAGCCTCCTCAGTCAGGTTTCCAAACACCACCGACACGTTGACTCCTGCTTTCTCAAACACCTTTCCATCTTGCATCACACAGCTGATTCCTCCTCCACCTGGTACACAAATGATCAAAAATTGAAGACAATGAAGGGAAATGGAGATGAGATTAGTTGTGCCATTTTCTGGCTGATTAGGCCTTTTTTTTGCAAGTGTATGGCTGAGTTTCTCTCACCTTCATTTCTCTGCCACCGGTCCACCTTGAACGTCCCACCGTCCACCTCCTGCAGGGCGTTGCAGAAGTCAGCCTGCGTCTCCATGATCAGCATCTCCATCCTCGTACGCATCTCCTCTTTCCTCTCCTGCAGCACACTGATGTCGGTCACCGGAGGAGACATGAACCCCCGGCATCTCTCCAAGATGCCCCCCTCTTGCTCGGTCTTTTCAGCGGCTCGGGATACCTTCGTTGCCATTTCAGCCCGCTGGAAGTGGTTAGCGTTGGCTAAAAACCCCGCTACTGCCGCTGCCGCTGTCACTGCTGCGGCTCCACTGAGCGCCAGGGCTCCCTTTCTGGTTCGCCAGGTTGCAGATCTGCCTGCAGTCCCTTGGGACATGAACCGTACGCTGCAACCCCTGGAAAACCATCTTGTACCCGGAAGGAAAGTCACTGGCTTGCTGTGAATGCAGGATAACGGCAAATGTGGCTCTCCTGACCTAGCGAGCCGCTTTAAATGTGAAATCGAACATCGTCTCGCGGTGGTCTGAGCCGTTTTGTTTACCGAGCAGAAGACAATGGTGGCCATTTGTAGGAGAAACTACTGCTGTCCGTTGATAGTTGTGTACTTACTCAAAACAATATCAGAAGTTGTGCCTGCGTGTTATCAGTCGTGTGTAAAGTCAAGGGGCGTGTAGTTCCTCGGTAGTAACAGAGGCACCACGGGAAATGTCGTTCTTTGACGAGCTCTCCGAGCAGTGGGAGCCTACAAAAAACTTCAAAACCCAGAATGCAGTGTGCATAAAAACAAATGATGCGTTCATGGACTTCTTATATGCTCCGTGTTTTGAGTTTAAAGACGAATTCAAGTTCCTCTGTTTGTTTGTCACATCGTTGACTTTCCCAATCTTCAAACGAGTGTAGTTACAATACAAAGATACAACTTGAATTACACTCCAACCAGAATCTCATACATGTATTGTTTAGACTTATCTTTTGTTCATTCAACAAACTTAGAGGTTCCCAGCATTACCAACTTTAAAATATTTTATTTGAATACTTTATCATATCTTTTTCTTTTTGTTCTATTGACAGTAGGTCCGAAAATGAGGTAGTCATTTTTAAATCCCTTTATATCGAGGCTATTTTATTTATTATTTGTTTGTATTTATTTTATTTGTATTTTTTTTATAGGACCCATGTGTCCGAAAGTTGAACTGAAATTGAGAATGTATTTATAAAAATTAAAAAAAATGTTTAAAAAAAATGTTTAAAAAAAATGTTTTTCGGCTAGAGCAATTTTAATTTGAGGCCTTAAATCGAATAGAGCCAGCCAAAATACACTTTGATTCTCATAATTGTATTAATTCGTAATTTCCTAAAATACTTTAACTGTGTATAATGATATCTGTGTTAAAATACACAATATCATTATATTCCTATACTATAGTAACCTTTAAACATTTCCTAGACGTTTATTTAAAATCTTTTTTTCTGAATGGTTCGGGGAACAATTTGTCTGTTTCTTTTTGTTGATGTGTGTACATAGAGATTTTATTTTGTGTGCGCATGCGCAGGGAGTAAAGCGTGTTGTAGGTCTCTATGACGACGGGTATATTAAACCTTTTAGGGCTGTAGAGGGACTAGACGCAGATTAGGTTATGTGCACAGGTGTTGCTCCGCAGACTACCAGACTGTGGGCCAGTTAGATGGGGTGATAGTCTCAAAGCAACCGGGCTGGATGAGTTCTGTCACCGCTTTAATTCAACAGGAATACTACGCAATAACCTGGTGGTGGTGAGTTTACTAACAACCATATTGACGCAATTTCTCATGCTATTTATTACCATTAGCCAAAAACACTTGGTTATTATGATTCCTATAAGCGCGAATTGTCCCCGACGAGTCAACTCCTAATTCGGTCTCCGTCCTGTTCATTTGTATTGCCCGCAGAGCTATTAAATAAACAGGATTATAGTCTATGTTAAACTCCTAAACGTTTTGCAGCCATTGGAATTTGTTCTGACTCACAACAGAAACAAAGCTACTGTAAACATAGCTAACTTACATGTCAGCAGAGCAGAGGGCATATTTGCTTAAATAAAACCAATAAACAAACAACAAAAACTGTTTACTGGTAACCTTGTAGTACTGAGTTCTGTCCAGTAAGTGACGCCCAATCCCCAACACAAGTAGGTTACACCACAGCTCTGTGTAATCCATCTCCTGGACATAAAGTGATGTGAGATGAGTGGGAATTAGGTGCCACAATGATTCAAAAACTCAGTTGCTCTTCAATCCATGACACAAACAAGCTAGACTGAATATATAATTGTGAATATGTTGCTTTTTGTGATGCTGTTTTGATTGTCCATATAGATGGGACCTGATGAGATACCCTGATCTGTATTGTACGCTGCTGTAGGCGAGGCTATGTATTGTATGTCTATTAATATCTTCAGTCACGCAGGTCATCGGGTGTCTATGCCACTCATCCAACCTCTAACCTCTATCACCATGATGTCATGAGGTGGAAATAAAGTGGTCAACAAAACATTATTATCGGTGATGTCTGCATTTTAATGCAATTTTCAACATAGTAATATTTTCATATATGTATCAAATATGGTCTTTTATTTGCACCAGAATATCTACTTTAAAGTGAATGCCATGTGTGTGATAGTGCACACACATGGCACCGAAACCATGACATTTGTTGTTGTATATACATGTGTATATATATATATATATCTTGGTAATCAGATCATTAGATGTTGAGATATCTTGCTTAGGGCTGACCGACTGATATTATTTTCCTTAGATCCCGCTTCAAGTGTGGCACGAATATTGTTTGAAAGTTGTCTCTGATCTTCGTCCAGTGAAGATTATGAGTGAGGTGGTTTCCACAAAGCCTCAGGAGGAATATGAGGACGACTTTGAGAAGGATCTGGACTGGCTGATCGGTGAGGAAAGTCGTAGGGAAGACCAGGTAAGCAATTTATATAAGATCATTGGACCGACTGATTGCATCTCTCCTTTGTACTTTCTTTTTTCTTGTTCTTTGTTTTACCGTGTGAAACTAAGTTTGTGCTGCCCCACTTACTGCAGACTTGGTGCTGCATGGGTCCCTGACCTTGCTCTGTAAATGTGTAACAGTGAGTAGGGTTCGAGTTACCTGACCTGGTAGGCTACATATCACTGTATGCATGTGAAACCCACTCTGTTGACATACAGTGACATACTTTCACTGTGCGCCACTAGATGCAATATTGATGAACACACGCATGTCTGTTATCAAACCAGCACGCCAATTACCTGCAAAGTATTGATGTTGCTCATTCATTCACCTGCAAACCTCATTAAGGAATGCAGCGGGTCTGCCTTTCCGCCCCACAGGGTCCTGACTTTGGCGACATAGAAGCAGAAATTGACAAAGAACTGGAGGAGTATGACAAACAGAAAGGAAAGAAAAGAAAACCGAAAAGCCACAAGGAGGAGAAGGGAGGCAAGAAAACAGAGGAGCTGGAAGAAGATGAAGAGAGGTGGCCCTCACCTATGGAGCCATTAGAGTATGACTCTGACAGAGACAGCCCAAATAAGTCATCACCTGTAGCCCCCCCACCTCCAGGGATGGATGAACAGACAGATGAGGAGAAGAAGTACATTCTGGAGAAGATCCAGCAGGCTAATCGAGACTTGCACGACCAAAAAGCTCCAGATATGACAAGGCGCAGGCGGCTGCATTTTAAAGAGACGCTGGTGGACCTGGTGGTGCCTCCGCTGCAAAACGGAAACTCTGGTGAGGTAGAAGGGGTCCAGGGAAACAAGGATTCAGAGGCAGAGACTGAAGTGTCAGGGAAGCTTTCCGAGCTTAAACTTTCCCCTCGGGAGGAAAGCGTAGGATCTGGCAGGGCTGGGGAGACCAGTGAGGGAGGGGTAAAGGAGGGTAGAGTCCTTGTAGAAAAGGATGGTAAGTTTGATCTGGTCAGTCTGAAAGAGGTGGAAAGTCAAGGACTTCTCCCTCCTATAGCGAGTGACTTCTTAACCCCACGTCATCAGCAACAGACTGTGAGCTCCAGTAAGACCCACAGGTCCTCCTCCTCCCCTCGCCCTGGTGCCGGCTCTTCCCCCTTCCAGCAAGGCATAGATCAGCTCCGTGCCCCCAAACCTCCCGCTCAGCCCAGGAACAGGCCCAGCTCAGCCAGCCACAGTCAGAGTGGCAACCAGAGGAGAGGCAGCAAGCGGCGGGTGCAGTCGGCTGCCGGGAACCCCTGCCTGGCCACCTACACCCTTTCCCCACAGCAGAAAGAGCTGCTGCAGAGGACCCAGGAGAGGAAGGAGAAACTGTCCAGAGAGGTAAACAAGAAGTGATATAGAGGTTAATAATACGTTTGTACATTCTGAAAAGTCAAAGTCAAAGTAGCACAGCTAACATTAAAACATTTCCACTTTGATTCTTGGTGTTCATCACTCTTGCTTCCCATGCCAGGAGGAGCAGAGGAAACTGGAGGAAGAGGAGCAGAAGAGGCAGGAGAATGAGCTGGCGTTTAAGGCGTGGCTGCTGAGGAAGAGAGAGCAGTTTCAGGAGGAGAAAAGGATCCAGCGAGCTCAGGAGATGGAGAAGATGAGTTCTAAGGTATCACCAAAAGGGGGCACTCTAATCTGACAAAGCATGGATGTAAAGAGCTGGTATAGCCTTTATACAGTATGCAGAGTCAGGGGTACCGCTGCAAGTCGGCTACATTAGAAATAATGCTTGTATATTTATGGTTTGACCAGTTATGTAATATTTTAGTGACTAGTTAGCTACTGTCCAGTATCTTGACACCTGTGCTGGAAGAAGTCAGATCTAAAGTAGCAACAAGTAGCAATTGTACAAATACTCTGTTACCCACAAAAGTCATGCATTTCAAATATTAGTTCAGTAAATAAGTATCAAAATATACTTAGAGTACCAAAAAAAAAAGGTATTCATTATGCAGAATAGCCCATTTCAGAATCACATATATTAAATAACTGGATTCTAATTAGTGATGCATTAATGCTGGTAAAATGTTGGGCTAATTTCAACCACTTTATACACTGCCCTGTAGCTTAATCCATAATCATACATCAACATTTATTTGTTGTTTTAAAGTTTGTATTAATAATCTAAACATGCACAGTAACTAAAGTTATCCAAAACAATTGTATACAAAATTGGTTTCTAAATTGTAGTGTAAGTGTAAAATGAAAATACTCAAGTAAGTTGCAAGTACCTCACAATTGTAGTTAAGTACAATACTTTAGTAAATATACTTAGTTACATTCCACCAATGCTTGACACCAACGTCATTTTACTATCTATAATAAAATTATTTGTTATTTTTAAATAAGCAGAAAGAGTCCAACGACTCGGAAGAGTCCTTCCGGCTGTGGCTTCAGAGGAAGCAGGAGCAGCAGCAGAAAGAGAGACAGCTGGTGGAGCTCAAGAGGCTGGAGGAGGACAGTGGTTACCTCCTACGCAGCCGCGAGGAGTGTGAACGTGCCTTTAAACTGTGAGTTCACTTTTACATTTTCATTCACTTAAAGTCCCAAATAATTGGCCAACTTTTCACAGTTTATCAATATGTCTCTCTTGATGTTGTATCCTCACATATACAGAATAATGCTATGTTTGTTTTGGTTATATAGACATAATAGCCTATTTGAACATTCACTTAGCATGTTAAGAAAGTTAATCCTTAGTTAGTTAGTAACACACCATTTCCACATGTGAAATCACAACACCTGTGAAATGTTTTCCACACATTTGTAAATGACATGTTTATCTTAAAATTCACATGTGAAGTGAAACATTTCACATGCGGAAAACGTGTCGTCTCTTCTCAAATATGGATTTCAAAGATCATTTCTAAATTTCAAATTTGGTTTCACGTGTGAAGTCCCATCATCATCATCCTCTCCATCCTCAGGTGGCTGAAGCGGAAACGGGCGGAGAAGCGAGCGGAGCAGCAGGCGGCTCGAGAGCGCTCCCGCAGGTTGGTGCTGGAGGAACGCCGCGCGCGACGCATGAGGGACCTGCTGTGTTCCGTCAATGAAACCAAGCCATTCAGATTCACCGAACAGCTGGCCTACCGCTTCTGAACCAAACAAAAACAACGTGGCTGCTGGATTCACACGTCACTGCACGTGACCGTCGTCAAAAACCACAGACTGGGCAACACGAGATTTGGTGTGGAACAGAAGACAGTTTATTCTGTGTTCAGTCGTTGCTAGGGTTTTGTTTTAGCACTTCTATTTCTGTGCTGTGTTAAGTCACATTTCTAAAAAGAAAACGTTTACCACAGTGACTGACCCCAGTGTGATAAAAATGTACTGAGTAAATTATTTTTTTTACTGTATTTAACGCTGTCTAGTGGCAACTGCACTTTACTTTAAATGGAGCGCTTCATAAACAACAGGGCTTTGCAGCTTAAATACACAAGATGAAGCATTTGTTACGGCATAACTTTTGTCAAGTTTTTGTTTGGTTACATAGATATTACAGGTTACTTAAATGAATGCAACTGTAAAGGAATGAAATATATATGTAAGAATAAAACTAAACTACGATATCCAAAATCAAAGATAATATCTCGTCTCATATCAAGATATAGATTTATTGCCCAATCCTAACAAGTCATTTATCAGTTTCTTAATTTTAAAGGCATTCTTATTTGATACAAAAGAAAAAATGACGTTTAATTTCATGACGTGAAAGCATAAAATAAAAATACTAAATATAGATATGAAATTTCATATTTTTAATAGGCATGTACACATACATTTTGGTGTGTTACAGCATTTCAGAATTCAATATCAGTGAAACAAAAGTGGCCAACCTCATAAAATGACAGGATGAAGGTTCTGGTTAGCAGTTTGAATCTATGTAGGAAAAGAAAGCTACTCTTTGTTCGTTTCTCTCCATTGGATTTACAGTGCAAGACTCGGCCTATCATCTGTATCATCAACACAAACATCACGAAATAAAAGAGACACAAATACGTATTCCTTGAAACAGGAATGATTGACATCTTTTATGAAAAAAAGCTCCTCATATTAAATGCAGACAGTTGCGACAGCAGCCGTCTATTATTAAAAACACATAAATAAAAGTAAAACATAAAACACCATGTTCTCATGTCAGTGAACATGGTAACCAGTATATTCTGCTCTGTGTGCCCAGAAAAGAGGGGAGTGATTCATTGCGCCAACAACAAGAGGATAAGTGGACAAAGTAGTAGACGGAAGACATTTTCAGTTTCAGACTTGACACACAGAGACGGACAGAGTGCATGATCATTAAATATTCAGCATATTAGAACATATCTTTCTTAAACTCTTTGTACGAGTGCTATTTGAAAATCAGGTACCATTATAAAAACAGTGCACCGCTTACGTTGAACATAGTTTTTACTGGCTCTATTAGTAATAACATATGTAACAGTACCATTTGGGAATTATTTTCAACTACTGACCACTGAAACTAAGGTATTTTTAATATTTGTACTTAGTGTTTACGAATAAAACCCATTAGATATGTTGTCCGGAACAAGAACAAGCACAAAAAGTAAATTGCCGTTCTTCTCTTTGGATTCTTCACAGTTCAGTGAGAGTACAGATCAGTCTTACATGAAACAGCTTCTTACCAGGTACAACAAAACAAAGTGAATTGGGTTTTTAGAAGCTGTCACTGGAGGGAAAGACAAAGAACAAAAGGTAAACTCAAGTACTTGTGTGTAGAGAAACATTCAAAAAAATGCGACTGAGAACACAAAAATGACATTATTAATCTTGCACTTCAAACAGTACAAAAATAGAAAAGTTCCCATCCAAAGGTCGATTCAATAAATAGTTAAAATATATAGAAGGATTTGATGGAAGCAGATGGACTGAAGCAGTTTTGCTTCAGCTTCTACAGTTCATCTTTAGGGTTGATGTTGAGGCCTTGACCCCACACAGACTGTGTGTCCAACGCCTGGATCACCTCGTCCGCCTGCAGTCTCTCCTAGGAGAGAAGAAGAAGAAGTTAGAATTACAGCCTCGCCGTTGTATACCTCCGCCAACCAGTCACGTTGCAGTTCACATTTCAGGGATTGGTCTACAAAAAGAAGTCCTCCCTGCAGCACTGTATTAGCCGTAAACACAAAGTGCAGCTGAGGCAGATGGGTATGTCATCAGTTCGTATTTGATTGTAACCCAAAGTATCATCCCCGTCATAACATCCTCTCATTTCCTTTCAAAGAAGACGAACCTAGAAGCAAAGTGATTATTGCCTATATGGTGATAATAGTTCTTTAACTGAAACATTAGCTTACCAGTTCTCTGAAGAGCGGGTCCAGGGTGAACCACAAAGCGACAGCACACCTCTGCCCGCTGGTAACGGCCTTCACACCGTGTGGATTCTCCCCTCCTGATGAGAAACCCACCATCCTGCCACATAAGGGCTTCACTGATGCCTGGACGGAGCAGGAACGGAGGTGAGGTTAAAGAATACCATTATCTGTTCATATTAGTAAGACCAACACATTTACATTCAGCTTGGTTGTTTAAGCAGGCATTTGCCCTGCTGGAGGGTCCTAGAGTGTAATCCCAAGTGAGCATCAAAGCCATAAACTGTACAGCAAATCTCACATGTCAGGAGAGACCATCTTACCGTGACTGTTTTGGCATCCATTTCCGTGAATATGAACTCCCCTCCTTCAAAATCTCCATTTAGATATAACAGTGCACTGAAAGTTTAAAAAAAGCAAAGGAGAGATCAGTACAGACTCAACATTACATTTAAGAGATATATTAGTGACCGTTATACATCTTTTACTATGTAATACAGCAAAGTAGGTTTGTTATTTTCAGTCGTGTTGACAACGGGAGCCTCGTGCCTGTAGTCTCTGTATGTGTACGCTGGTGGTTCCTTCCAGCACTCATTGGCCTCGGGGTCCAGCAGACAGTTGTCAGCATGGATGGGATGGCTCAGGTCATTCCTGTGATCTTGCTGGCCTGTGAACCGACAACCAACACGCAAATTAATAATAAATACATATTTTTAAAAAAACCACATCTGTACTTTTACTGGGGTTTTCCTCCTGGTTAGTTTTTTTTAAGTCTACCCAATCATGCAGTAGACTGTGAACTAGGATCATTTACTAATCCTACTGTTGGAGTTCTTTTCCTGACAAAAGTTTTGACTGTAATTATTCAAGTATATTTAATTTATTTAATTTGAGCTAAATCTGAGAGACTTTAAATGACTTCTTTTTTTTTTTTTTTTTTACTTTTAATTCAATATCGAATGATGGTATGAATGTTTCGGTGTCAAGTGAAGTATGTTTCTGTGGGTGAGTGACCTGTGATGGCTGTCCGGCACACCAGGTGTGTGTAGGAGAAGTGCAGGGTGGAGTTGAGCAGGAAGTAAGACTCGATAACACGTCTCGCTCGCTCGCTGATGTCGTAGAACAGGCGAGCGCTCCTCATCGGCACTCTGCCCTCATAGCCGTACTGCAGGGAAGAAAACAACAAAAGGGACACTGTAATAAATCAAGATTGTGACACATTGTATTGCGCACTGTATATGATATGACTTTATGATAAAGACGTAATAATCCTGATCCCCTGGTTTGAATTTTGACTTTAAATAATTTTTGCTCAGACAGTTTCTTGCAACCTGGACAACTATTTGGGCAGATGAGGGATGGAATCATTAGTTTATCCTTAGCGCTGAGTGTACCTGCAGGGTTTTGAGTACAGTGGCTCCTTCAAACTTCTCATTGGGAGTGTGTGGAGACATCCTGCCTCTGTAACCGTCTCCTGCCATGGTGACAGCCTTCAAGACAAGAAAAAACAAAAGCCAGAATTAAGCTTTAAAAGTTAAGATATAAAAATCATTACGTTATCAATGTTGTGTAATGTCCCTACATGAGCCAGGCGTCTGAGGTCTGAACACTCCTCCTCGGACATCACATGGTCCAGCAGCACCCGCTGGGTTCCGTTCAAGGCCGCAGAGTTCTGCACCAGCTGCACGGTGTCATACACCAAGGGGCCACCTACACAGATCACACAGCAGTATTTTAGGAATGCAACATGCTATCTCAGAGAAGACTTAACTGAACACTAATAACTTTCTTTTAGCAGTTTAACTGTTCTGCTTCATCTCAGTGAAGGTTTACCTTCTTTGAGTTGCTGTGGAGCGGCGACAGTGCCGTTCTTCTTCTCTGAAATGGGAACATACTCCATCCAGCCGTCTGTCCCGGAGGGAATCCTGGAAGAACAGAGAACAGAGAAGGCATTTTGATGTTAGTGGCCAAAACTATGACTTTAAACTGAATGAACTTGTCAGCAAAGTTGACTAGCAACATTATCATTCATTTGGAGTCATGTCTCCAGCCACCTCATGAATGTCAGTCTAATATTTATTCTCCTTTCACTCTGTTTCTGTCTCTAACAACTTCTGAGGGAAGTGTCTGTCTTTTCAGCTTCTAAATGCTCCACTGTGTTTCACCAATTACTGTGTCTGCTTGTTGTTTGGTGCTGAGCAGGTCACATGCAGTTTTTAGCTTCAGGTAATGAGAAGTTAAACTATAGTAATATATAGTTTTACAGATGCAGATATCTCTCACCTGTTTGAGTCCTCTCTTCCACCTGTGCTGCTCCAGTAATTCTGCAAGAAAGACAAGGAGCAATTTATAATCTGAACATTACTTACTTTCAAAAAACTCTGGTGACAGCAAGTAATTAAAAACACAAAAAAAGACACCAGACCAGTGGGACTGATTTGACTGATTTCTTGAATGCGGTGTACATGTGAAATATGATATTTGTCAAAGTGGCCAGCAGGTGTCGCTGTTGGCCTTGAGGACAGTGGACGGCGGCAGTGCCAGACACCTGTTACCCTGCTTTGAGTCAGCCGGCAGCAGGGGCACATAAATGCATTTACACACCCAGCAGGAGATCTGCTCTGCATCAGACACATGTGGGCCGGCTTACGAATAACCGGCCGTTAAATTACACAACCTCTTTTCATTTCAAGGCAAAACCAAGAATTAAAGGGCACCGGTCTGTCAATAAATACTTGCAGTCTGCTTTGAGTTTATAGTAACACATGAAAAGTGAACAAGAGTTGGGATGTTGTGGTGTATTCTGTTAACTCACCCCTTCCATAAATTCCACACCCATGGTTTTGCTGCCAATCAGAAGGAGCTCCAGTTCCTGTTTGTGCCTCCTCAGGTACCATGCAGCTTCCTGGGAACACAAACACACCAAAGGTTTACAGCTTCCTGAGTCATTACGGTAATTCTAAATATTTTGTCCTTGACATATGTATAGGAGGGAAATAACTGCAGAAAAGAGAGAGAAATACATTATATATTTTAACAGTACTATCACAAAATATTCCACATTCAGGCCAATGATTTAGCTGATTTTAAATCACAGCATTGTTTTCATGCTCACAGTTACAGCAAAGATGAAAGTATTGGTGTTTTAATATTAACCTGTCATGTATCAAAGCTCATCACCATAACTTTTTCTAAATCTTACAGTGACAGTGGACTCCTGTCCTCACCCTTTCACCGCAAATAAAGGGAACCACAATGAGTCTTTCCCTCGGCCCAGTGCCAGGACTAATGGAGTGTGACGGCCTCTCTTTTTCCCTGTGTCTTCTCTGAAGGACATTTTCACTACATTTCCTGCCAAGTAAAAACTTGAATGGAGGCAAAAGTATGCTGTTTCACGAGCCTTGGTTCATACAGTAACAGTCGGTGCTGCTCTTGGCTTTGCATTAAGGTGGATTAGTTTGTATTAATAGGATTGAGGTCAATACTGGTATTGATACATTCAAGTTAAAAACAAATGTGATAATGATATATTGGCTGATATATATTATGTTGTAAATAAACGCAAAACATGGCCATTTTCCATTAAATGGGGTTATTAAAGCACTATGACCAAGATATGTAGTGAGCGGGACATTTTACAGTGGAAAATTTAACTTGTCAGTGCTCTCTGTAATGGAAACATTGTTAACTACCTCATACTTACTGTATGTTCAAAGGCGCTCATTATAACAACTATTTTCCATGTAAAGATATAGTGGAGTAATGTCTACCTGAGGAGAGAATGTAGTCCCCCCCCAACCCCCCGGTAAACACTCTTAGCTTTGTCAGCACTTTTGTCGTAGTTTGCTATGCTAGCAGGGTTAGCACCATTATAAAACTGTATAACTACAACTGAGTGTAAATGTTCTATAAGACTACACACGGTCATGTTTTCGAGTATTTCTTGTTAGATTTGAAGCCATGATGATGAATATTATAAAACTTGAGCATCCAGTAGTGTTTTTCTTGTTGTGGTTAAAAAAACAGAAGATCCCTTTCCAGCCCCCTTAATACAAACAGCTCTCAAATTGTCCCAGAGACTTCTGTGGGCACTCTGACATGACTTTTCCTCCTCCTCCACCATTCCTGAAAGCAGGATTCTTTGGCAGGGAGGCAGGACGGGCCTGGCACTCAGATCTAGGACTCTGTAAATGAGCTCCCCATGGCCAAAGAGAGAGAGAGAGAGAGAGAGAGAGAGGGCGCAGAGAGGAGAGGCGATCTGTGGGCCAACGACTGCACTGTAAACTGATGGGACTGGAAATACTTGAGGGCTAGAAAAATGTAAGCTATGAGTACAAAAACATAAGCTGCAACACGTCAGCTTCTCTTTATCTCTCACACACACACACACACATACACACACACAGTGTCCTGCTGGGAGCCTCGCTCGCTATAATGAGTACCAGGCTTTCTAGGAAAAAGAGGTTGTGTAATTGAGACTTGAACAAGGAGCTTCTTGACTTTTCAAAGCAGCTGATCAGAGTCTTAGGGAGACCTAATTCTTGATGCTGAAGTGGCTGATGGGTAGCCAGACTTAGCAAATTGAATTTTCTCTAGTGGGCAGACATTCAGCCTTTAATCAGTCAGTGTTATGAATACCAGTGGGCAAGGAAATAATAAAGAGCACAGCCAGAGGAAGAAATATGTGGTTGTAAACACATTGACTTAGCAACATTAGCTTAATACTTCCAGCTGGATGAAGAACATGTACAAGTGAAAAGCAAACTTCAAGAGGCAATAGCCGCCAAGCAGCGATTAGCAAGTTCATCCAAGAAATACAGCAAACGGCCTGCTGCCTCCCGTCTCCCCCTTTTCCCTCATATTCACACTCTTCCTCTCCAGTGTCCTTCCCTACGATCCGAAGGTATTTTGTTCAACTAACTGGAGACTATGCTATCCTTAATGATATTTGAAGTTCGCCCAACTATTACATCAACTAGATCAAAAGAGAACAAGCTTGTATTTCTAAAGGAAACATAAGAAAGCAAAATTCCTGTGCCAAGTTCTTGTAAACTTTTACAGAGGAGCAAAAGAAACCATCCTGACTGGAAACATTACAAATTGGAATGGGATGTGCATGGCTTAGGACAGACGCATCTACCGAGCATCGGGGATATTGGGGAGGTGAGGTGCCTGTGCAGAACCCAGAGGATATTAAATGACGCCAGCAAAGCCTGTTCACCCTGCTGCCATCTGGCAAGTGATACAAAAGTATCCGCTGTCGAGCCACCAGACTACAGAGCAGACTGTTGGACTCCCCAACTCATCCTCCATACTGCACCATGACGAATAGTTTTGTAGCATAAAGGGACTACTACTTGCATTACGTTGTGCAAGCCCGTGTTGCAGAATAACAATAAGTGAACCTTGAACCCTTTAAGTTGTGGCACCTAAAATCTCGAGCAGCTTTCCATATTGTGCACGATTCTGCAGATAATTTTAATATTTGAAGTTTGGTCTATTAGTTTTAATCTGTAAATCTTTCTTTGCAAACCAACATGTAGTGTGTCTACCTTGCATATGTCTTTTCTAATTAATTTTAATTATGTCAACATGTATTTTTTTGTCGTCTTTTAGTTCTTCATACACATATATACACACACATATACATATACATATATACACACATATACATATACATATACATACATACATACATATACATATATACACACATACATACATATACATATATATATACACACATACATACATATACATATATATACACCCACACACACACACACACACACACACATACATACATATACATATATATATATATATATATATACATATATATATATATATATATATATATACACATATATATATATATATACACATATACATACATATACACACATATATACATATATACACACACACACACACACACACACACACACATATATATATATAGCTCCCCAATGCCGATTTACTTCCACACTCTAACCTCTTGTTCATGTATTTATACATTGTCATTGATGCTGTTCCACCTATTCTTTCACCAATACAGCTTTAACACAGACACAATGATCCATCCATCCCTAAAAACCCTCATGATGAGATTGCCCTTCAAATTTAATAAAATCTCTGTTAAAAAAAAAGAAAGAGTTACAGATAAATTCACCAAACCATCCATCCTTGTATTTACTGTATCTTTCACTCTCAGCCTCCAAACCATCTGCCCCTCTCCATCCCTCGAGAACAGCAGATGCTCACCTCTCTCGGCTTGCCATCGTGTCCCAGCATCTCTCTGTAGTAATCCACGTTGTCCGTCATGGACTCCTCTCCCTCGTGGAATAACAGGTAGGTCACGGAGGACTGGAGAGCCTCCTGCAGCCGGTCCACTGCAGAGAGAGACAGACAGCAGTTTAAGTGGTTTCTCTTTGTGGTCTACACAATCAATGGTAACCTGTGGAGTATTTGACCTCTGGTAGTGCTGTGGATCAACAGAGCGGCATTGGGTTTCTGCTGAGCCATCTATTGGATGGACTGGATGACCAGTGTGTGTGTGTGTGTGTGTGTGAAATGTGGAAATGTATCTATCATGGCTCACATTCCCAACGCATTACCACAATGGAGCAAAAGCTGCACTCTGGTTGACATAGTGGAAAAATTATATACGACTGAGCCTTGTGAGGAGATGTCAGTGATGAAGTGAGACAAACATACAGCAGGACCGTCCTACGGTCTTCCAGAGATTCACATACGCAGACACACTTTTATCTATGTTCAAACACAGATCCACAAAGACAGCGGTAACCACATACACACCTTATGCTCCACACACACACACACACACACACACACACACACACACACACACACAC